ATTGCTGTTCAAATTGATTCAGCACTCATTCATATGTTTGTTTAAAAGACCAAATGTTGGCATAACTCCTACAATCCAGCACACAATTAATTTGACTGAGCCAACGTAACCTTTTGCCCCAAATGCCTGATATACAGCTCTTCCTATAACAAAACACTCAAAAGATTCAGCTGAAACCCTTAATTCATTGAGGCCTTATAGAAATGTGTTGTTATGATTTGGGATGTCAATATTACCCAGGTTTCAGATGATGATTTGAGGTACAATCTCTACAAGATGTGATAGACTTAACATTTGATATGTTGGAATCAAAACAAAAATGAAAAAAAAACTAGTGAACTCAAGACCGAAATCAAATCTTTCTTCAATCTCACCATCTTTACCAAAAGGGACAATTATCGTCAACATTCACCATGCAACTTCAGTAAATCAAATTCTTTCCAGTAAATCTCTAGCAGGCAAAATAATTATAGCTACAGAGATGCAGATATGTGACAGTCTAATACAATTTTGATGATTCATTAAAACTAATAGCATCGAACAGCTGTGATGTAAGATTCTAATAAGCCCTACTTTTTATAAGTAAGAAGTTAAGAAATGAAATTTAATAGCTCCAAAGGTAAAGTGCTAATTTTTCATTGTTTCATGGGTATATCTGGCAAGGGCAGCTTTTGTTGTCCATCCCTAATTTCCCTTGATTTGAGTGGCTTGCCAGGCCATTTCAGATAGCAGTTAAGAGTTACCTACATTATTGTGGGTCTGGAGTCATAGGTAGGCCAGACCAGGTAAGGATGGCGGACTTCCTTCCCTAAAGGTTATTAATGAGGATATAATAATATTAATTTTATATAGAATCTCTACAGTGCAAATAGAGGCCATTCAGGTTGTTGAGGTTGGTTGGCTCGCTGAGCTGGTTTCTTGTTTCACAGACGTTTTGTCACCATGCTTGGTAACATCCTCAGTGCAGCCTCCAATGAAGTGTCAGTATGTTTTCCCGCCTGGGAAAGCCATTCAGCCCATCGAATCTGCACTGACCCTCCAAAGAACATCACAGCCAGACCGACGCTATCCCTGTAACCTGCATTTCCCATGGCTGACCCACCTAGACTGCACATCCCTGTACACTATGGCCAATACATCTAATCCACACATCTTTGGACTGTGGGAAGAAACTGGAGCACCCAGAGGAAACTCATGCAGACACGGGGAGAATGTGCAAACTCCACACAGACAGTTGCCCCAGGCTGGAATTGAACCCAGGTCCTGGAGCTTTGAGGCAGTAGTGCTAACCACTGAGCCAGCATGCCATCCAAACATTTCTTTTTAATAAACTGAGACTCGATTTCAATTCCAGTTTGTATCACATGGATTTAAATTTCACCAGCGGGGATCTGAAATGCATCCTTAGCCTGGGTCTCTGGTTTCCCAGGACAATGATATTATCACTTTGCTAACGTCACCCTCCAACAAAATACTCCCCGATAAAGTATTCAAGTCTCTGTATGTCCTGGTACAATTCTGTTCGGAAGAGGAGATGAACAGCTCCCTCAAAGAACTCCAGAAACAACTACCTTATTTGAGTAAAGTTGCTGCAGAGATCAGCTGAAATGAACTGTGGCAATCATTGCATGCCATGGAGGTGTTGATTATTTTAAATCGAATCATGAACCAAAGAGAAAAAGAAAATCAACAGAATATATGGGGTACTAAATGGAAAGTGGGAAAGAGATAGAGAGATAGAGAAGAGACAAAGAGAAAAGAGAAAGACAAAAGAGACAGAAAGAGAACTGATTGTAACAAGGTCAGCACACTTGATCCCAAGTGAGATCTGGTATTGACATGCGATGCCTCCCCGTACAGCATCGGGGTAGTATTAGCCCATAGTTGGCCCAATGGAAAGGAACTTCCAATAACATATGTATCCAGGACTTAGGCTCATGCAGAATGAATCTATGCCCAGATAGAGAAGGAAGGTTTGGCGGTCATGTTTGGAGTCAGCAAGTTCCACTAATACCTTTACAGATGTAAATTTGTAAAAATAACAGACCACAAACACCTGTTGGGTCTACTTAAAGATGTCAAGGCAGTGTCGCCCATAGAGTCAGGCCACATTCAGCAGTGGGTTCTAATACTAAATGGGTATAATTACAAGCTGGAACACTGTCTGGGAGGCCAAGCAACAAACGTGGATGCACTTGAACCATCTCCCACTGGCAGATAAACCACTGGAAGAGTTTGTAATGGTTTTCAATTTTCTGGACACACTTCCAGTCATAGCTGACTTTGGAAGCAGGAATTTAGGTCCTAGCAAAACTGAAATAGCTGGTGGTGATGGGGGAAACGAAAGGTCCGTCTGTTCTGAGGAAGGGTCACCGGACCCGAAACGTTAACTCTGTTTTTCCCTTCATAGGTGCTGCCAGACCTGCTGAGCTTTTCCAGCAACCTTGTTTTTGTTCCTGACAACCAAAATCAAACCCTTTTTGGGCCTGGAGAGACCGGATCACAATACAGGGTGGCAGATTATTATGGGGAGCAAGAGTGATTGTCCCAGGCAAAGGTCACTGCCAATTATTGGCTGAACTCCACCAGGGTCATCCAGGGATTTTCAAAATGAAGATGTTGGCGAGAAGTTATGTCTGGTGGTCAGAATTGGATGATGGCATAGCATGTTGGTGAGGCAGTGCCCAGAGTGCCAACAAGTACAAGAATTACCACCAGCTGCTCCCCGACATTCGTGGAAATGGCCAGGTAAACCCCAGACTCGGTTACCTGTCAACTTTGCAGGTCCATTCATGGGCTCAGTGGTCACAGATAATGGTACATCATCTGGGGGAAGGAATTTAAGTATTTTCTAAAGTCAAATGGTATTTGTCATAAAAGGACAGCTCCATACCATCCTTCATCCAATGGTCTGGCAGAAAGGGCAGTCCAATCTTTGAAGGCAGGCTTATAAAAACGGTCTTCAGATTCACTAGATAACAAGCTGTCCCGGTTCCCGAGGAAGGGTCACCAGATCCAAAACGTTAATTTGGATTTCTCTTCACAGATGCTGTCAGACCTGCTGAGCTTTTCCAGCAATTTCTGTTTTTGTCCCGGCTCTTATTTTACTATCGGACCACCCCTCATGCAACGACAGGTATAACTCCAGCAGAGTTGCTAATGGGGAGAAGACCCCACACCAGGTTAAATCTGGTCTTCCTGGATCTGGGAGAGAGCCGGGGGGGGGCGGGGGTTGATATGGCATCGGGAACGCCAGTGCCAGACACAAGATTCCGCTAAGCAAGACAGACAGCTTACTTCAGGGGGATGATGTTTGGTGTAGGAACCACAGGAATGGCCCTGCATGGGTATGCATGGTCAATGCAAAGTCGGGGCCAGTGATGTATAAAGTTCAGGTAGGTGCAATGGTCCTGAACAAGCACTCAGGCCATACGTAAGCTGTAAACTCACAAATGGTGCAGGAGCAAAACCTGTCTAGTTCGTCGACAACCTTTCTGACTGTTCTGGAACCCATGCGTTCTCCCTCTCCATCAAGCATTGAAGATCACTCTGACTCAGAGATGGACATGGTGGATGTTACTGCCTCGAAGCCTTTGCCACCTGAAGTGGAGAATGGATTTCTTCCGAGATGCTCCGGCGCAAGAGCTGAGCTACTGTGCTTTGCACGTCACCTGTATCAGAGGCAGACTTGGAGGAACCTAACCCGGTGATAAATGCCCCAGGAAGAACTGCAGGAAAAAAAAAACACGAACCAGCCTATGTCCTCGGACGCAGAGGGGCGGGTATATAGTGATTGTAAAAGAGGTCGACCATAAATAGGAGTTCCCTGATTGGGGCTGTTAATCTGGTCCAATCAGGGAGCCCTGGCAAACAGATAAACAGGAGTGTCAGAGGTTCTGCTCACTGAGAGCTGACTCTGGGGAAGCTGGTTCCATGTCAAGGAGTTTCCACGCATAAGTAAAGGGTGGCTTGGCAACAGGATATTGGCCTGTTGTGAAATCACTTCAAAAGGAAAGTCAGAAAGAAAGAAAGAACGAAAGAAAGAAAGAAAGAAAGAACGAAAGAAAGAAAGAAAGAACGAACGAAAGAAAGAACGAACGAAAGAAAGAAAGAACGAACGAAAGAAAGAACGAACGAAAGAAAGAACGAACGAACGAAAGAAAGAACGAACGAAAGAAAGAAAGAAAGAAAGACAATTGAGAGAGAGAGAGAGAGACAATTGAGAGAGAGAGAGAGAGAGACAATTGAGAGAGAGAGAGAGAGAGAGAGAGAGAGACAATTGAGAGAGAGAAGAGAGATAAGAGAGAGAGAGATAATAGAGAGAGATAGATAGATAGATAGATAGATAATACAGAGAGAGAGAGAGAGACAGAAAGTGAAAGGAGACAGAGAGAGAGAGAGAGAGAGACAGAGACACAGACAGGAGAGATTAGAGAGATTTAAAGTAGACTATGCACAAATCAACCTTATTACAATTAACTTCCTAATGTCAAGAGTCCCTAATCTAAGTTGGCTCTTGACTCTTCAAAAGTGTAAATTAGTTAAAAGTAAAATGTAGGAGACCCATTACATCACCAATACTTCAACATATGCAATGTTCTTATTCAAAAAAACATACTCAATGAATGTTACATAGAGCAATAAGCTCCTAACTTATGGACAATACTTTTAAAACTAGGAAAGTCCATAAAGGGGAGTAGGAAATACATATACACAATTGTTTAGAATCAATTCTAACAAGCTCATGGAAAAAAAATCCTGACACAAAGTCGTTTACTGCTGCTGCAACATTCTGTGTAAGGCATACATGGCAATGCAGACCATAAAAAGTGGGATGCCAGCCCAGTTTGTTCAAGCACAACTCTTTTGCTTGGCACTGTTCTTTCCAGAAGAAATGCCACAAAAGGACTTTGTCTGGTTGATCTGATTTACAATCTAGAAACAGTTTGCCAGCTTCTTGTATACTCGAGGTAACATTTCACTCAAGTTGAGGTATTTACCTTGATATGGAGATGGAGTATTCGATGGGCGACCACTCCGAGCATACTTTTGTCGTTTTCCATCTTTCCAATCTATAACTAGAACAAAAAGAAAACAATAGCTTATGTTTTCCGGTCACTGGTTCTCACTGCAATTTGTGCAGAAAAACGGCATGTTCCATATATCCATCTTTCACATTGATGTAAGTGGGCTTCACGCAGTCAGCGGTTGGAATACACTCGTTAACACATTTAACAATAAGTATTCAGTTCAATTCCAGAATATTGCACCAAGTGCACAATGGCATTTGATAGCAATCTGGTCACTATATCTTGAAGAGTAAATGGCATTTGTTTCTTAGATACATCCCTCTGGAATACGATTAAATTCTTAAACATTCAAGTTGAAAAAAGTAGATCAGCAAACAGTCTATATGACCGTTTTCCTGATTCATGTCACAATACGCTACATAGCTATCCCACTGCACTTGTCTGTAAGATACAAATTAAAAAGAAGGATTGCCTTAATACCTTAAATTCAAGAGAATGTCTCAAACAGTAGATGGGATTGTGTTAATACTCCTGTTGACAGATGTGCTCATATTTCAGACTGTGATGGGACATCAAACACTGCAGAAAACAATAGCATAAAACATTTCAATGAAGGATTCTCTTCAGATTTGGGCGGTATCTACTATATTAGAACACTGGGCTCTCAAAGTAGAGACTCCAGTTCAAATCTCAGACTTGACTGGCATTCAAGTTGAGGTCTTCCTTAGGGAATTGGTTCAAGGGCCTTGAAGGGACCTCTCTGAAGGGCAAAGGAAGGTGACAACAAAATAAAACAGGTCAAACCTCCCCGACTAACAGCTTGGCTGATACCTGTCGTCTGTTAAACCTGATCCATCTTTTGGGCATATTGTAGATTATAGGGAACCAAAAGGGAGGCATCGAGGAACAAATAAACAAAAGGTTAACCATATCATGGAACAGACCCATTTCATTGAGATAGAAGTGATTTTACAGACCACCTACTTACCTAGTAGAATCCAAATAATAACCTGCATAATTGTTCAGATGGTGGCAGCAGGCGATGAGAAGTATTGTTAATAAGGGAATAAAGAGATTGCAAATGGACTTTAAAAATCTTTAGTGTTTTGATGAAGAGCTTGTGACAGCACAGCAGCAGTGTGCCAAGGAAAGAAGACAACTGTAAAATCAATGTTGCTGTGTACCAACACAGAGAAACAAGGCCAGTTCATATGTACTTCTTGAGGCAAAATCTATACACAGCAGTAAGATAAAATTACCAGAAATCCATTATTACACTTTCCAAAATATTGAGTTAGACCTGGGTAAGTGACCTAGTCAAGGTCATTGTATATTACTCCTATGTTTTTGCATTTTTACTAGAGGCTGCTTCAAAACTGAAAACCCTAAATTCTGCAAAGCTAAAATTGAATTGTGCAGTGTACTTTCAGCTGACAGTATTGATACCTCTTGGACTTTGGTTTCATAATCACCAGCAACACTGCAGTACCTTACACAGATAGTAATACTCCAAGATTTGACGACGATATCAAGCTGTTATTGTGTGCAGATCTGGGCCCCATATCTCAGTAAGGATGTAGTGGCCCTGGAGCTGGTTCAGAGGACGTTCACAAGAATGGTCCCAGGAATGAAAAGCTTAACATATGAGGAATGTTTGAGGACTCTGGGACTATACTCATTGGAGTTTAGAAGGATGAGGGGGGGATCTAATTGAAACTTACAGAATACTGAATGACCTGGACAGAGTGGATGTTGGGAAGATGCTTCCATTGGTAGGAGAGATGAGGACCCAAGGGCACAGCCTTAGAGTAAAGGGAAGACCTTTTACAACGGAAATAAGGAGAAACTTCTTCAGCCAGAGAGTGGTGAATCTATGGAATTCACTGCCACAGAAGGCTGTGGAGGCCAGGTCATGGAGTACACTTAAGACTGAGATAGATAGGTTCTTGATTATCAAGGGGATCAAGGGTTATGGGGAGAAAGTGGGAGAATGGGGTTGAGGAACTTATCAGCCATGATTGAATGGCAGAGCAGACTCGATGGGCCGAACGGCCTAATTTCTGCTCCTATATCTTATGGTGTGTTCCACCAGAACTGAGCATTGCAAACCTCACCTCACTCTCTCGAGACAAACACAGACTATTCATCAGCCTTTAGAAATGTAGAAGAAAGAATGGTTGATGTTTTAATCTCACCATTCCACTTCTACACTGCCTAAAAACTCAGCACAAGCTGGGAGAATGAACATTTTCCACCCATTCACTGTTGATGGAGCGCTGCCTTAAGAACTATGATCTTAAACTGTTTTGTGTTGCCAATGCTTGACAATGCACAATACAATAAAAAATTTCCCCCAAATTTCTTAAGTAGATGTTTGAAACAAACACAGAAACGTTGGAGAAGCTCAGCAAATCCAAAGATAGAAACACAGCTAATGTTGAATCCAACATGACTCTTCTTCAGAATGAGGTAGAGTAAAATTGGACTCAAAATATTAACTCTGTTTCTCTCGCCACAAATACTTCTGGACCTGCTGAGTTTCTCTAGCACATTTCTGTGTTTGTTTCAGATTTCCAACATCTGCAGTAGTTTGCTTTTAGACAGATATTTATTTGGCAATGGTGTCAAGGTAAATGAGAAAGGTTGGGGAAATAGAATTGAGATGTAGATGAGCCACGGTCTACTTGAGTGACAACAAAAAAGACACAAAGGCTGAACGACCAACCTCTCTTCCTAACACCCATGCAGAACTGAGATGAGATGAGTATTTTCTTGGAAAATGGCAGCACAGGATTGGTTAACCAGAAACCAGATTAACCAGAGAAAACATTCCAGACTCTGACTGGTGCCTATCATGTGGCTAAATGTGTAGCTTATTTGTATAGTTCTTCAATATCGATTATAATTCGCTGCATTAAACATCAACTTTGTCATGAAAATATAAAATATTTGGAATTTCATGAATACCTTGACAAATACTATTCATTGTGTATGTAGTGGAGCCTTTTGAGAAGTTCAATGTGTTCAAATTAGATCAACAATGACTTAAAACATTGTTTAAAACAGTTGAATGCTTACCAAATTGAAGACAGAAAAGCAGTGTTTTGTCAAGTCCTTCAGAACAATTAATTTGATCCTGAAGGAAATTATTGCCACTACAAAGAAAATGAATTGCTTTCATTCGGAGCTTATGTCCTGGTATTTGTATAGAATCTGAGATTGTAAAGAAACACTGAATAATTATTTTCCAAACAAGCTGGACAGGATTCCTCATAGTCCATTATTCACTTAGTTATACCCCACTGATGCTACTAACTTCCCCCTTCCAACATCACTAATTCAATTTGAAACCATGCCTTGTTCTGGAGCCAGAAAAGCGGATATGTTTGTACACTCTTAATATCAACACAGCTGCAGCCCAGGTGACCTACCTTTCAGCCTGCTGAGAAGTGGCTCCCACTTAACCTGCACTTTCTGCCCCCATACAGCCCTCCATAGACAAGGCTGCATGTATTTAATCAGGAATGCAATTTTTGCTCTTCCACTCAGTGCCCAGGGGAGACGAGTTGGTTATGAATTACACATTTAGGAATAGTAATCCTGTTACATCACTAATGTTTCCCAGTTCTGTTGATTTGATTCGATTTATCATTGTACCAAGATACGGTGAAAAGATTTGTTTTGCAGGTCAGCAGCTTTCTCCAGGGTGTGAAATGAGCATTAGCACCACTTCCCTTGACAGGTGCTAAAATGCTAATTTTGCCCATTAATCCTAACCCATCATTATCAATTAGTCTTTGCAATATTTTCTGTTGCACTCTGGCAATAATAATGATGCGTTAGGTGCTAAAATGCTGTTTTTACCCATTAAACCTATCAAGGGAAGTGGTGGTCATGCTCAAAACCAAGAGGTTTTCTCATTTCACACCCTGGACAAAGCTGTTGACGAGCCCCCCTTTCCGTTAAGGAAAAATCAGCTCAGATTCAGAAAGCAGAGCTGATCTGCCATGGCCCGTATTGAACTGCTCTCCACTGAAAGTTCTATCCCAGGTCCACATCATGGACTGTTACACATTGTACATCCAGTTGCAGGTTGAAGTCCTTTGACTCAGTCATTATTTTTAAAAAATACCACTGCCAGAGCGATGATGTAATAATGTTGTCCACTTTCCATAACAGGAACACAAGCAGCAAGGGCTGGAGAAACTCAGCAGGTCTGGCAGCATCTGTGGAGAAAGAAACAGCATTTATGTTTCGAGTCCAGAATGACTCTTCTTCAGAACACAAAAGTTCTGAAGAAGGGTCATACTGAATTTAAAACATAAACTCCATTTCTCTCTCCACAAAAGCTGACTGAGCTGAAGTTTTCTCATACTTTTTGTTTGTTTCAGATTTCCAGCACCTGCAGCTCTCTGTATTATTTATCCGTAACAGCAAGTTTGGTCAAGCATCACTGTTCTCTGTTGTTACATTTGAGGGAGTTTGGTGCTGTCAGTCAGTGCCTATTGGAATTTGCCAAACTTATTTCATGCAATAATAACCCAACGGAGAAAGGATAGTGATTTGAAAACTGCTAGATGTGACTGGCAGTCCCAACTCCTTCATTTTTATTTGGGAAACAAATGGAGTTCTCATTTTGAGTTGCACCAACCTCAGTGTCAATACGACTGCCCCATCAGCAAGGTGAACCACTTATATATTATTACACTTTATTTTAACATTTGTTGTGGGATTCAGTGCCTGCAGTACAAGTTAGGTCAAAGCAAACATTTCCTTATAAAACACGTCTAAAGTCTTCAGGACACCTCAAAATTCTTCATAGCCAATGAATCGCTGAAACAGTCAGTGTTTTGTAGGTAAATGCAGGTAGTAAGCTGCCACAAATAACAAATGTTATTTATCCTCCCCTCGGCTAGACTGAGAACCTATACTGGGAAACCCCTACAGATTAAATGTACAACTTTGTTTCTGGTCTTGTATGAGAAGCAGCTGGTTCAGTTCTCACTGATTGTAGTAAAAGGCTCAGGCCCAAGCCTATTGGGGTGAAATTGGTTGAGAAAGATTCACCTTGGTTAACTCAAACTTTTTCAATTAGAAAATGGCTGCCTGAGTGAAGTCCTAATTAAGTATCCAGAAACTTTTCAGGAAGGTCTAGCGACTATCAAAGGAACTAAGTCCGCATTGCATGTGGACCAGGAAACAATCCCACAAATCTGCAAGGCCTGCCCAGGGCCATTTGTCTTTTGGGCACTAGTAGAGGCAGAAATCAGGAGGCTGGAAAGCGAAGGAATCATCAAACAAGGTCAGTTTGTCGAATGGACAGCACTGTCATACCGATCATGAAGCCTGACCGGTCTGTTTGCCTCTGTGGGGATTTTAAACAAATGGTAAACCACTTCTTGTGACCGGATAAATACCCAATCTCTCGCTCAGTGGATTTATACACAAAACTAGTGAGGGTGCTGTCCTTCACAAAGCTGGACATCTGCTACTGAAAAAGGGGGAGCCTTGGAAATGGTCTCGTAGCCTTTAGGGAAGTGAAGAAGCAGCTATCCTCATCCAAGGTGTTGGCACACTATGATCCCAAGCGATATATGGTGATGACATTTGATGCCTCCCGTATGGTATTGGGATAGTGTTGGCTCACAGACAGCCCAACGAACAGGAACACCCAATAGCATATGCTTCCTGAACTTTACCTAGTGCACAGCACAAATAAGCCCAGATACAGAAGGAAGGTTTGGTGATCATCTTTACAGATATAAAGTCATGATAGTAACAGATCACAAACCCCTGCTAGGCCTACTCAAAGAGGACAAGACATTGTCGCCCATAGCTTCATGACGAATGAGAGCCCACTGCTGAATTTGCAGTGCGTGCAGTTACAAGTTGAAACACCATCCGGGAGGCCAAGTACCAAATACCGATGCCTTGCACCACCTCCCACTGGTGCCGCCACTCTGATTTTAAACTTTCCAGACACCCTTCCAGTCACCGCTGACAATGTCAGGCTGTGGACGCAAAAGGATCCGGTCCTGGCAAAATCGGAACAGCTGGTGATGATGGGGGAAACCAAATGGCCATCACAAACAAAAGAGAAACCACTCGGCCCGGCAGACCATATCACATTACAGGATGCCACTTTATCACGGGGAGCAAGAGCGACCGTCCCAAGCAAAGGTCCCCGCTAGATACTGGCTGAACTCCACCAGGGTCATCCAGTGATGTCCAAAATGAAGATGTTGGTGAGAAGTTGTTTGGTGGCCAGGAATGGATGCAGGCAGAGCCGTGTTAGTGAGGCAGAGCACAGAGTGGCAACAAGGACAAGAATTATCACCACCAGCTCCCCCACGCTTGTGGGAATCCAGGGTCAACCCTGGACCCAGTTACACATCGACTATGCAGGTCCTTTCATGGGGTCAATATTCTTCGTCATTTTGGGGCACCCACTCTAAGTGGTTGGACGTGCATCGAGTTCATTCATCAAACACAGGGATGACGACAGAAAAGCTGCGAATATCTTGTGCAACACATGGACTCCCTGAAGTGTTGGTTACAGACAATGGGCAATCATTTCCCAGCAGCGAATTTGAGTAGCCCCCAAAGTCGAATGGCATCTGGCATATAAGGACGGCTCCATTCCATCCATCATCGAATGGTCTGGCAGAAACGGCAGTCCAAACGTCGAAGGCAGGCTTAAAGAAACACCAATTCTGAGGAAGGGTCACCAGACCCGAAATATTAACTCTGTTTTCTACTTCACAGATGCTGCCAGACCTGCTGAGCTTTTCCAGCAACTTTGCTTTTGCTCCTGATTTACAGCATCCGCAGTTCTTTCAGTTTTTAAAGAAACACCCTCCAGCTTCACTCAATACAAAACCGTCCCAGTTCCTATTTCATTCTAGGACCACCCTCGTGCAACTACAGTGATAGCTCCAGCAGAGTTGCTAATGGGGAAATGACTCCAAACCAGGTTAAATCTGATCTTCTTGGACAAGGGGGAAAGATGGTGAAACGGCATCGGGACTGCCAATGCTGGACACAAGACTCCTCTAAGGGAGAGAGATAGTTTATTTCAGGGGATGAAGTTTGGTGAAGGAACCACAGAAATGGCCCTGCATGGGGGTAAGAGGCACGATCAAAGTGAGGTCAGGTCCCATGCCATACAAGGTTTGGGTAGATGAGGCATTCCTGACAAGCACATGGACCACATAAAAGCTGAAAACTTGCACATGGGGCAGGAGCAAAATAAACCCTGCCCCTCAGAACAGCCAGAAAGGCTGTCAGAATCTGTGTGTTCTCCTCCTTCGTCCAGCAAAGGAACCTCAGAGTCCGAGGTGGACACAGTTGATATCACAGCCTCGATGCCTTTACCATTATCTGAAGAAGAGGATGAATTTCTTCTCTGGGTGCGAGAGGCAGGCTACCGTCTGAAACAAGCCGCCAGTATCCGAGGCAGAGTCAGAGGAACCAGACCTGACGTGAAAATGGCCCAGGAGAGGCTATAATAAAACAAGCAGGCCTGCATCCCGAACTTACTGGGGGTGGGGTGCACTGATTGTAAGAAGGTCAGCCAGGTGGACCTCCTAGGATATGATTCCCTGATTGGGGCTGTTACCCTGGTTCAATCAGGGAGCCCTGGCTGACAGATATAAACAGGAATGTCAGAGCTGACTCTGAGAGAGCTGGATCAGTGATAAGGACTTTCCACATGTAAATAAAGGGTGATTTGGAGATGGGATACTAACCTGCGTGGAGTTATTTCACCCTTACTTCTCAAACTCTTAGATGTTTAGTTGACTCCCAAACCTATGCCCATTGCTCCTGTTGGAACTTCCACAATTAGGTGTTCATCCTTCCCGCTGCAGCAAAATAGCCCAAAAATAACAAACACCATCTAACTGTGACCACCTCGCTGTCCCCCAATTCTGTCTCTATAATCTTATACATGGTTGACAATGCCACCCTACACCAAAACCTCTTCTCTATTGTGCAGCTTTAGAGACTGCCCTGGCTGAAATCCAATTTTACCCATCACGGAGACAGAGCATCTTTAACAACCATTATACCAGTTGCAGGTCAATTTGTGCTCCCTTCCTCTTTCTATCTTGATTACATAATTGGCAAACATGAGCTGTGTGGGCAAGGTAAGCCTCAATGCACTCCCTCCTACGAAGTCAGTGAACCCCACAGTGAACTTGAATGTTTGCCAATTACTCACACGTTGGCCACTACCTTGACCCAAACCAGACTGTTCACAACCTCAAGGTCCTGTTCAACTCCAATGTGGCTTTGACTCCATTGCTTTACCAGCTCCATGACAACCTACTCTTCACCCATCAATCACTGTCTACCTCAGCCTCTGTTGTAAAACCTTCATGTATTTCTTCATCACATCCAGACTCAACCATTCCAATGCTTTCTTTAATTCATCGAAAACAGTGATCTCCATTCAACTTCACACCAAATCTCTCTCGCCACATTAACCACAGGCTCTGCTTATTACATTGTTTTATTTTGATCTTCCAACTTTAATCCTCTTTGTGTGTTTAAACTGCTTCACAGTCTTGCATTCCTTATTTTGGTCAACTTCTCCAGCCCTACATTCCAATGCTCCCATACTCATTATTTCTCAGTCTCCAGCTTCTCATGACTCCTTTCTCATCTCCACGCCCTTCACTAACTTTTATTTCCAAAATACACATTGTGCAGGCTCAGGAATCTTCTTCCTCTCTCATTGCCATGGTTTAACTGCAAATAATAATTGAACGACCAGATAATCACCTTTGCCTGTTATATGAGTAACAAACTTTGGTAAGGGCACATGTAAAACTTGGTGTTCTGCTTTCAGCCAGTTTCATTAGTTAGCTTATGTCCTATTGAGCAGGCAATTCTGGATTTAACACCTCACCTCGAAGGCAGAAACTCTCAATTAACTCTCAGTTAACATGCGTGTCCATCACATATACATTAGCAAGGGTTTAATTAGTTTCCTGCAAAGGAGTTTTAAACTTTACTCCTATGCTCAACCCCCATTTACTTTATCTGCTCACCTATTGACTAATACTTTAGGTCAACACTGCATGACTTTGACAAAAATTTGAAACACAATCTTTACAGGTTTCTTTACTTTCCTTCGTTTCTTTACTGCACCAGAAATCAGTCCTGGTATGTGTATCCATTAATCTAACACGTATCCAGTCAGAGGGTTATCCCACAGAATGCTCGAATTCTACTTTCAATGTAATATTTACAGACCCCAACAATTAGATCCAGACTTTTCCTCCATACGAAGCAGATTCTGTCACTTCAACTCGCGAGCAGATTCAATATCGTTTCCCTGAAATTGGGCTCAGCACTTGGAGATCACAGCATTTCTAACTTGTCATTCTGCAATTCTGTCCATTTTTCTGCGAAACCTGTAACCCTGCCAATCACTGGTGACAATCAAGTTGGTACAGAGAACATTTTATCGTCGCAGATCACCAGCACTCACCTTTTTGAGGTCCTGGTTTTCTCATTGTACAGAACACACTGTCGATGGACTCAAACCAGCTAGGATCTGAATCCTGCGAAAAACAAAAAGAAGAAAAGAATAAGCACAGAGGATTATGAAGTCAACTAATAATTTCCAATTAATTGGGCTCAAAGTCCCCATGATTTACATGGCCACGAGCCAAGATAAAAACCAGAAGACAAATAACGAATAAAAGCATCCATCCTTGGGGTCAGGTAAGAAAGAAGCAAAATGAAGGAACTTGGAGATTACAGATAAAGTCAAACAAAAGAAAAATGTTGCAGTTATTGTGACCAAACATAAATCTTGTGCATCCTCTAAGTGAAACAAAACATGGAATGGGGCAGCAAACAGACAAACATAGCATAAGATATGAAGGGGAAGACATAGTTTCTCTTCATCTGTTCCACTTCCATTGATTGGAGATTGTAGGACAAGAGAAATGGTCAAATAGAATGGAGCCAAAACCTTCTGAAAAAAAAAAGCAACTTCCTGTAAAGTGTAGAACACATGTGGATCTTTCCACACTACACAGCAATTGATGCTTATCAATTACTACTTTCAAAATTGGGATTGACAGGCTTGGCCAGAGGGATGGAAGGATATGAGATGCAAGTGAGTATGCAAAGTCAATCATTGATCAGCCACGATCTCACCAAATGGCAAAACAACATCAAAGGGCTAAATGGTCTGCTGGGTTCTTTTCTTCCAAAGCAGAAGAATGACATTAAAGCTGGGATCACAAAAAGATCAATGCTGGCAACTTGCTTCTTGCTTTCTCTTTCAACTTTTCCCTTTGCCATGGAGTTGCCACACTGTTCGTTGTTTACCATTATATTTGGAACACTTGAAGATCAACAAAATGGCAGCATCTACAAGGCGCACTGTATAGCCTACCATGGCTCCTCCAGCAGCACCTTCCAATCCCCTGAACACTGCTATCTAGAAGGACTAAGGTAGTCAGCGGATGAAAACACCATCACCTGCAAGTTCTTGTCCAAGCGGTACACCATCCTGACTTAGAGTGATAGTGCTATTCCATCACTGTCGGTCTTTCAAAATCTCTTTCCTCTGGGTGTGCCTGTACCATGTGCACTGTCACAGTCACCACTTTCTCAAGAGCAAAAACAGAAAAGTGCTAAATGGTGGCTGAGATAGCACTGAATAATGAGAAAACTTGGACATTGCAGACAAAGCCAAAGCAAAACCACAAAAATGTCGCAGTTGTTGCTTTTGAGCAAGTCAAAACTTCACGTAATTTTAAACTAAATGCCCTTCTATCACTAACTCTCTCCATTCATGCAGACTGGGAGGTGGCACTAATACATCTGGAGGAAAGGAACAGTCAATGTTTCGGGTATAACCCTTCTTCAGTCCTGCTCCTTTCCTTCAGATGCTGCCTGGCTTGCTGTGTTCCTCCAGCCTCCTGTTTGTCTACTTTGGATTCCAGCTTCTGCAGTTTGTTTGTTTCTTTGGCACTAATACATGTTGGCTTGCCTTCACCAGGGTTCTCTCACTGCCAACATCCTGCTGGTTCAGAGGTGAGCTAACAATACAGTCATCACAAACAGGCTGTGCTGGCAAAGCTGCACCAATTAAAAGTTCCCAGTATCAGAAAAATTATTCCTATTAAAATTGAAAGTAACTGAATATCTTTCACCAATTTTGTCTATAATAGGTAACCGGTGTGGATATCTTAATTTCAGCCATTCATCCAACCACTTTCCCAAGCAGTTTTGGTAAAAAATCCACAAGTGTTATTTGTAAACTATAACTGATTTGACACTTTTTTAAAGAAAAGTTATCTGCTATAATGATCTAACATTAAATGTCAATTGGCGTAGAGAAGCATAAATCTTGGGAGTTTCATCTCAAGATTTTCTTCCATAATAAACGCCAGGCTAGTATTAGCATTCTCACTGTCAGAGTCTAGTTCTCCTGCAGGACTGGTGTAGCGAGTTCAATGAAATACCTACACTGTTTTGTGCTGAATTTGAGATAATAAGGTGATCAATCTAAAAAAATTCCAAAGCACTGTTCAATCAGAAAATTCTGAAGATTCCCTGGCTAAATTTAAACTTGAACTAATGATGTAAATTAGTCATTTCCATGGGACCTTGTTGCACAGACATCTCCTACCAATTTAACTACCTGACAACATTGTTAACATTTCAAAAAAAGGTAATCAATCAACTTCAGTCAACTTTTGGCATATCCCAGGGGCATTTAAAGGAGCTGAATTTATGCAAGTCCCTCCTTTCATGAAACTGCGGCAGTCTCTACAATTAAGTTAAGAAAATGGCCTGGAAACATTCATACACATCAGACACAGGATGCTAAAATGTAGGGCATGATTTCATCATAAATTCTGTCAGGTGTCAATGAGAGGATGGCTTGGTAAATCCATTTTATTAGAAACTCCCAAGAGTAGCTTTGTCATTGGATAATCGCATTAAACTGCCCTGGTCATTACCTTTAGTGCAACTGAACACACACAGCTATAACAGCAAAAAGGAGCAGGCACACTTCTGGATTCAGTATCTTTATTTTGACACTTAGAAAAGAAGTTGATACTTTCAGCACGCCATTCAGCAACAAAGGGAAAAATAAATGATCATTTATCACGGCAGCTTATAAAAAAAAGAGAACCAGCCTCCCAGTGGATCACATGCTGTGGCAGTGAACAAAACACACTTGGCAGGAACCAGTTCCAATCCTGGTCTGCACTGTTAGCTTAACCAAGGCAACATTTTCATTATTTCAAGTGGCCTCAGTATTCTGAGGGTGAAACTGATTGTTTGCTTCTGATCTAGCCAATGCACTCAAAGACTCAAGTGCAAATGTGATTTCTACACAATGCAGTGACATGAGGGGTTAGCACTGCTGCCTTACAGCGCCAGGGACCCGGGTTCAATTCCACCCTCGGGCGACTGTCTGTGTGGAGTTTGCACATTCTCCCCGTGTCTGCGTGGATTTCCTCCCACAGTCCAAAGATGTGCAGGTTAGGTGGATTGAGCATGGTAAATTGCCCATAGTGTTCAGGGTTGTGTAGATTGGATGGATAATGAGGGATGGGTCTGGGTGGGATGCTCTGAGGGGCGGTGTAGACTTGTTGGGCCGAAGGGCCTGTTTCCACACTGTAGGGATTGTATGATCCTACGAAACTCACATCTGAAGAAGGGTACATGAGAATACAAGAAATAGGAGCCAGAGTTGGCTATTTAGTCCTTCAAGCCTGCTCCACCATTCAATGAGATCACAGGTCAGATCGCACTCCACCTACCCACAATACCAAATGACCCTCAATTCCTTCAGTACCAAAAATAACTATCATCCATTTGACGGAGGACAGCAAGTTTACCAGAACCAGTGAATCCGAATCACAGCAAATAGGCGGTGAATATCGTCAACTTTTCATAGGTCACTTCCTTTGCACTGAGCTTTCCCACCTCCCTGAGGAACATTCCAATATCAATGTAACTATTTCCCAGAAGTACTCGAGGATATCTATAACATGTGCGATAAGAGGAAACAACAATAGCTAATTGCTACGAGGAACACTTGGTGCTGGAGCTCAATGATCAGGGATATCACAGGGACCTAGAGTTAGTAAAGAAACTAGAAACAGTAGCGACTCAGCAGCAGAGAACAACTTAGCAACATAGACCGCAGGCATATTGACAGAGAAGAGAATGGACTTCATAAAAGATACAATCCAGGTGGAATTGGTTGGACTGGAGACTGCTCAAGGTGGAGGAAAGGAAAATAGCATTCGCACAGAGGAATCCCACTAATAGAGCAAAACAAGAGATCAAAATTGGTCTCATAAGGAGAGCAAGGGTGAGAAAAAGGTCATCTCCGAATGCAGTAAAGGCAAGTGAAACCAAAGCAAATGCACAGACAACATGCAGAACATCTAAAAACTGAACGGGACAGCAAGGTTCATTAGAAGTGTCAAGTACAGGAGGCAAGTGAGAAACGAAACAGTGAAAAACCCTAAGCAACTTGGCACCACATCAAATTATGAATAGGTTGCAAATTTGTTCAGCAAATGCTTCTCTGTGCTTACAGCAGAGATCCTGGGATGTGATCTCAGTAAAGACTGCCTAAGAAAGGCAGTGTTACCACTAAAATAAATCCAAACTCCCTGAAAATACAATTACTGCATAAGGTTGTTGAAGACAAATGCGCCAGACTTGTATGCTCTGCATACATGAATATTCCAAAAAATATTTTAATCCAAGCTCTTTGCACACCTTCTCTCAGGAATTATAGAAGGTAACATTCAGACAAATCACAACTAGGATCTATAGTTCCACCATAAGGGCTTGGTCATTCAAGCTTGAGGTGATGAGGAAGTATTATTGGGTTTAGCATCCTTAAAAGTGAATAAATTACCAGGGCCAAATGAAACGAACCCAGTTGATTAAAAGAAAGCAGGTAGGAAATAACAATGCTCTGGCCATCATTTTCTAATCCTTACGACTTCACCCAGAAGTTTGTGAATATTTGGAATGTCAATCCCATGTGGATGCTCAGTGTCTAAGTATATTCAAGACAGATATAAATAGAATTTGGGACGTTGGAAAAATCTAGGGATTTCTAGGATGGAAAGGTACAATTGAAATAGATTAGTCGTGATCTTATTGAAGGGCAAGAAAGGAGCAAGATGCTAAATGTCTTCTTCTTGCTCATAATTCCTCCATTATAACTGACTACTAGGAGGATAACCTTCATGCACAGTGTGATCAACTTTTGGAGTGGACGCCTGGGCAGAGTGGTGGAGGTAAAAAAATCCTGGAATTCTTTACAAAACAATTAGATGCAGCAATAGGGACAAATGACTAGAGAGTGGTTCAGCAACTTGCCAAGGTTCCTTCAACAGCACGTGGTTGGCAACAGTTCAAGGGTCAACTTTTCAAGGGTCAGCTAGAGACGGACAATAAATGCTGGCCCTCATCAGCAGCACCACATCCTGTGACAATTTTTTAAACAGCTAATGAATCAATACATATCAACAGACTTCCTCATCTACAATTATTTTATAAATCA